CCGCTCGTCCCCCTCCTTCCCGCAGCGGTCAGAGGGAAGTTTGGTGCCCGGGCTGCGGGGGGGTCTGCGGGTAGCGAGCGCCCCGCGGACCGAGAGAACCGCTGACCGTCCCTTCGGCAGCGCAGGTTGTGGTGGTGGGAGAGAAGGGCGCCGGGGGGACTCCGGAGGTCAGGTCCCGGCGGGATGCAGAGCGACACGGGGGTGGCCGAGGGAAGGTTCCTTCCCTGACAGTGCCTGGTGTATTTCTCAGAGGCACCGAGCACGCACAGCTTCCCTCTGCTTCGAAATCAGGCCATCGTAGAATCATAAATATATAATATTGCACTCCTATGATATTATGAGTAGAGAGCAGGAGAGTTAAACGCGTGCATTGAGGAGAGGCAAATTACATGTAAAGGGCTTTGCTGCACAACTGCAGAGCAATTCTCAAATGAAAAAATTCAAATCCTTACAAGAATAAATCTAATTCCTGCTCGCATGTTCCCGTATCACCTGCTGGGCAAGAAAGTGTGATGGGTATCGAGCAACGATTAGTGGAGTTACATCTGGGTTTGGTACACATGGTGACTTACCGTTGATCAAACAGCAGTCTGAAAAGCCCGAGCTGGAAAAGACCATTCTGGACAGAATAATTCTACCTTGCTCATCTCTTCCAGGTCAGGGTGAAGCAGACAGCCCTGGGAAGTGTTCTGGAGGAAAGAAAAGAAGCCATCGAGCCCCACACATGCTCCTGTATGACCGAGCAGAGCCAAACTCGCACGCTGGCTCTGCCCAGGGCACGGAGACCCCTCGGCTGCCCCCCGAGAAGTTCCTGTGCTCTGGGCAGAGGCTTGGAACCCCAAAAGTGGAGCAGGAAACCTTCCCCCACAGCTTCCATCGCTGGCAAAAAATCCACATTTATCTTGAAAGTTTGCATTTTGACATGTCAGCGGTTCTGCAACAATATAAATGTGCTTGAGAAATTTTTGATCGGCCTAATGGTTAGGACCTATTAGAAGCTGCAGAACAAATTCACAATCAATCCACTTATTCAGATGCATGAATACAAGCTTAGAAAAGTAATTACAGGCACCTTTTTTTTTGGAAATCTTGAGGCTGTGTGGTTTCCCCACGGGAAATATGAGTAATAAATTCCTACTTAAAAAAAAAAAAAAAAAGAAAGAAGCAAATGTGCTAAGCATTGTTCTTATTTATTTTTGTCTTTAATATTAAAAATTGTTGGTTAAATGTTCCAGGTGAGGCAAGGCTGGCTGGGTGCAAATCCTTTCACAGAAAAATTAAAATCCTTAATTTCAACTATTCTTTAAAAGAACAAACAGAAATATTTGATATGGGTAATTTAGATCTTCTTTACACTTTTTAAATTTTAGCTGTCTTTTTGTAAGAGAAATGGGTTTTTCTTTTTTGGTGAATGTGTAAACAGAAATCAGCTGATCAGAATTAGCAGCTTGGCTATTTTTCTTTTTCAACTAAGAGTTTATGTTGTATCTATAGAGTTAACATCATATCTATACACATTAAACACATCTGGTTTAGGTTTAAAGTATTTTATTAAAAAATTAATCTTTATCCTCTATTGTTACAAAATGGTGAATAGTACTTGACATTTTTAGTTATTTTTGATTTGCATCAAGTTCTCTTTGTATGAAAACTGACATTCAACTAAAATTTGTTTGAGGGCATTTAAAATTGTTCATTAAACCTATCATAAAATGTTTGATGCATTTCAAAAGTATCTTTGCATTTTAAAATATTTTATGAAATAACTGAAATAATGTCCCCTAGAAGGGGAATTAAATTGGTGGCTTCTGGTAGCCATGGCTTTGACAATCTTAGAGAAAGCAGATCTTATCCTCTCACACTTTGGTTTAGCTGTAGATTGACAGAGGAAAATAGGCATTCTTACTTTTTCTTCTCTAATGTTGATTTTTCAGCTTTAATAGTCCTTAACTGAACTACTCAAATGGATTGAAACAAAGAAGATATTCACCCTGCCTGCAGAAGAAACTGCAGCTCTCAAAAATTGCTTTCCTGCATCAGCTATGTCCTGTTCCATCTGTGTAGCCAAGGCACTCAGGCTGGTGGTGTCACCTTCTGAAGCTCAGGAACAGCAAATATCTCTTTGTGTCAATTGAAGAGGTGCAGACAAAATTTCAACAAAATGTTACTTGATTTTTTTTTTTAAATAAAAAAACTGGGGGAAGATAGTATGGAATTCTGTTGTCCAGCAAGGGCAGTATGTGTAGGGATTTTGATCAAATTCTGGCATAATGAAGCAAGGGACCCCTAAATAGTTCCCTTTGGTTGTACAGATTGTTACTTCAAGGTGGAGGGGCTTATGTGTTATTATTAGTTTTGAAGATGGAAAATGCTCTCTGTGAGTGCTTAGGTAGCAACAGACAAAAATTAATTTCAACTGATAGGGGAGGAAAGGATCCTCTTATTGAAAGTGAAAGGCAGTTGGGCAAATGAAGTTCAGACGATCACTGGAGAAGGCACAAATGGATAATAAACATAAAGCTGTGTAACAGTGCATCATTTCAGCTGAATTTTTGTACTTGATTTGGCTTCTTGGTGGTTGGCAATTATTTATGTGTGGTTTAAATTAAACCTGGGTTTTCAAAACCACCTGTTAAGTGAACAAATCCAGCCTAGTTTAGGATTTTTTTAATTTTTAGGCATTTGATTTTTCCAGATAAGAGTTAGTGCAGACTTCTGTCAGCACAGTGTCGCAGCAGAAGAGGAGCAGCAGACCACTGCTGAGTGACAGCCTACAGCTCTGAAATGTGCCATCCATCCCCTGGTAGGTTCTGTGTTCCCCATCACTTCTGGGACATGTCAGACTTCCTGCATGTGCCCTGCAGAGCTCGTCTGTGCCTTCACCTCCCAGGTGCTTTTCTGAGGCATCAGATGGGATGCACGTGTGCAAGGAGCAGCTGATCCACACAGTCTGGGTGGTCTTTGCCAGGACAGGGGGGTATGTGGTGCACCTGAGCTCTGAGGCATGGCTCTATGTCTGTGAAACCTGGATAAATGTGGAGAAACATCAGGTTATCACATGGTTATCACATGGAGAAAACAATGTGTTGTCCAGGATGGAAAGATCTGTTCGTCAGGCAGTGGAGCTTCACACTGCTAACACACACACAGACACCAAAATAAAAGTTTACAGGGGTTTTTTTTGTTAAGTTTTACATCTTCTCCACAGAAATTTGGAAGTGGGTCTGATGAATGACTAATATCCCATTGTCATTTCTTTAGGGGGGAAGGAGGTCTCTAAGTTGTGTGATATTTTTAAGCTAATAAATAAACAGCTAGTTCTTAACACTAAACTTACCAATCAAATCAGCCTCGTGTTGTTTTGCAGTAAACCTTAGATATCTCCTTTCAGCTGGGGTTAGGTGTTCCCTGCAACTCCTCATAAAATACGGAGCTGTGGTACTCTGCCTATGGGGAAAAAGCCTGGAGCCACATAGTGATGTATCTGTTCAGCAGTGTGAGAGAGAAATTCCCTATTCACAGCCCTGCACAGTCAACATTGCCTGCCGGTAAACTTTAAATTGCCCGAGTTGCCTAATGTCGAGATTAAAAGCCATTTGTTTCTTTCTTGTCCTATGCTGTGTTTGGCAAAACAGAAGGGACAAAAGTCTCACAATTGCTTGGATGCCCAGCAAACAGTTACACATTGTCCAGTTGTATGGGTTTTTCTTGTTCTTAAAAATATGGTCTAATAATGCTATAGATACCAGAGGACCTTTTCATTTGCCCATTGTGAGCAAAATGAAAAGCTGAAGTCTTGAATACCGAAGTGCAATTCTGTGACTTGTGAAACTGAGTAGGTATATCCAGCAGCTACAGAAAAATGACAGGACAAAATCTCAAACAAGCCATGATTGTTTCTTCCCAAAGATGCCAATAAAAAAGGCTTTGGAATAATATTCAGTGTTTAATTAAGACAAATGAGAAATGTCACAAATAATGCGTGTTACAGGTCACAACAAAACCATGTGGAATGTAGAATTTCTCCTGTAGAATTTTTCCTTAAACACTGATGTAATTCCAAGTCTCATTTAACATGAGTTTTTCTTGAACTTTACTACTGTGTCAGAGGCTGAGATGCTGCAAGTAACTCTAAAACCTGAATAGTGGTTGCTTATGTTCCTAACGGTAAGATGAAATATCTGCATCCTCTTGTATTAAAAATAGAAAATGAAGTAGAGGGAATAAAAAAGAAAACAAAGTATTTGCATTTTGAAAGCTGTAGAATTATATATTTGGAAAAGCTCTAAAAGATGAGCTGCGTTTCAGTGTTATGAATTAAAAAATATTACTGGGGGGCCATCTATAGCAATAAAAGGTCTTTGGATTGTCTGGTTGTTTTTTACCAGTGATATGTATTCTTCAGCTGAGGGGAAAAAGTCCATTTCAACAATCAAGTGGACATGTTTGTGCTCCTATTTTAGGAACACATTCCTTTTATAGGCATTAAACACAGTTTACTATTGGAAATTTTTCATTTATTACATCTGCTTCATGTAGGATCTTTCATGTAAACATTATAAAAAGGATTTAAGTCTTGGATTTAGAAGTTGGGGTTTGGGGGTTTTTTGCCCTTTGTTCTCATTTTGTATTTTAGTTCTTTGGAGAACTCTTTTTTTTTTCCCCTTTCAGGAAATTTCACATAATCTTTTCCATTCGTCATCAGCCAGGTTGCTGATTACCAGAGTAACTGCCAAGCTTTCAACTCCTTGTCATCAATGGGCTGTGAATGACAGACAGCATTAATGTTGGCAAGCTCCCACTCTCCTTTTTGCCTTTCCCAAATGTAATTAAACTGCACTAATACAGCAAAAGAAAAGCTGCAGCTTTATTTTACTCACCCTAATAACATAACAATTAAATCAGAGAAGCACACAATTCAGTCAAATAAACCCACCACGACAAGGAGATTCAGAGGTAAGGCAAGTGTGGAATCCCTCTCCTAGAGCCTGGGGAAAGGCCTCCCGTGTTTGCCCTTCTGTTGCATCTTTGGGTTAAGCATAAAGGGAATGATTAGCTTCTCCTACAAGTGACCCGCTGTCCCCCACATAGGGGATGGCTGGATAAGGAACAAAAGGATGGTGGCCAAGGCAACTGCATGCCTTGGCCACCAGAAGGACATGGCATTCTCCTGAGCTTTGAGGATGCCTTTGGTTTAATGTCTGTAGTGGCTAGAGGACAGCCAGGAGTCAGGAAGAGGGGAAAACCAGAGTCCTCACCTCACTTGCAGGGCACTGTGGCAATCTGTGGAATGTATATACACCACTGAAGCAGATAAACTATAAGGAGATGAATATAAATAGATATATATGTATATGTTTCCCTGGATCGAGGCCAGTGAAGAAGTTACTGGCTCATAGAAAAGCAATGGAATTTCCCCATAAACCTCTCATTTCTTGCAGCAGTGTTCTAGAATGGGAAACAAGCACTCCTAAGGAGGCTGAAAACTGCCTGCCACGAGCTCTGCTAGCACAGCTCTGAGGCTGGCATGAGAGCCTGTCTCATCCTTCAAGCCATCCTTAAAAGTAACACAGTTGGCTTACAAGACAAAGCCAATTTACAGTAATGCAAAGGAATAGTTTGACTAAATGCTGACAGAAGAAAATAAAGCCTGTTACACAACTAGCCAGAAATAAGGGGCACCATATCCAAAATGGAAAAGCCAGGACCCTCTTCAGCCTGTATTTGACCAAACCCTTAGGCCAGCCTGACTAAACAGACTAAGTGAGTCTGTCTGCTTGTGCAATTCGGGTGAATAATGGTGACTGTTAGCTGACAGGTGGTACCTTATAAATCCAGCCTGTGCCAAATTCTCTGGGGAACTGTTCAGTACATACTGTAAGTAAATAAGTAAGTTCTGTGGAGTAAGTCTTTTACAAATTGTCCTGCGATGCCAAAAGCAGCTCAGTATCATGATAATTTTCCAGATGAAGAAACCTGGGCTGAAATCATCTTTCAGACAAAGTTTAAAGCAGGATGTTATGGGTTATATTTTTTTGTAGGTCTAGAGCTGGGGTGATTTTTTTATATGTGTGCTAATAAGTGTAGTGAAAAGCAAAAAGGAAAATAAGGGAGGCATGTAAAACATACGAATGTAAACCCACTGGAGAAATTCCATAGTCGTATAGGGGAAACACTAAAGAGATGGAGTTGGAGGTTTCTCTTAGATTTGTTCTGATACAGTACTGTTGCTTTAAACAGCCTGTTGCAAAATGGCCCAAAAGACCTTTTGGTTGAGTGTCATGATTTTCTACTTGATTCAGCAAAGATCAAGGCTGCAGTGTTCCAAGCCAGCTCCAGGCCCTCAGAGGGAGAAACAGCACATCAAACACCCACCTCATCTGTTTTTGCCATCAAGCAAAGAAAGAAGAGGCCACAAAGGATGTGGAAAAAACCTATCAGAAGGGCATAACTTAGCCTTCAGCTGTTCTTGTGTGTCAACCATAATTCTTGTTAGAAAAAAAAAAAAAAACATGGCAGATTTGGTTCCTGTATAGAAACTACCTTGAACACTTTAAAAGGCTTGCTCTGAGTTTTCCATGAGTACGCGATTCCCAAGACTCTGTAAAAATTTAATTTGATTTTCAGACTGAATACTAAGTGAAGATTGGCAATAGAAATTGGCCCTAAAAATGAGAGAAAATGCTTTTATTGCAAGCAAGGTTTGCAGCATTCAGTGTTGTGGCCTTTGATTGTCGTAGCGGGCAGCTACATTTGAGGCACTGCTAACAGTGGCTTTCATCCAGGACTACTCCTGGCTCACTCCTTTCACCTAAATAACACCTGGGCACATGCTGGTATCTTTGAACAAAATAAGATATATTTACAAATGGGTTGGGATCAACCCAAAGCTGCTGGCCTGAAACTGCACCCAATGCAATGAGGGTTGTGCTTAAAATAATGAATTTGGGACTGGCACATATAACAACAAGGAGGGAAATTCTAATCTTAAGATCTCTGGTACACCAGAGAGCTCCCCAGAGACTTCCAGATGTGCAGTTTTGAGGGACTTCAGTCTTACCAGAGAAAGTTTTTTCCTGGTTGTTTGGTTTTGGGTTTGTTTTTTTTTTTTTGGGGGGGGGTTTTGGGATTTTTGCAATATTACATAACATTTGCATAAAAGGGGAAGGAAAACAATGTCATTTGAATGGTCAATGCATGATTTACTATTCAGAGATGAAATGGCTCTTTTGACTTTTTCTCTGTTAACTGACCAGGGCTGCAAACCTCATTTTAAATTAGACACGGATGTTACTGTTTATGGACTGGGTATTGATACAGGAATTAAAATTACTGAAGAGGATGACAGCTTATTGAGAGTCAAAGGTGAACCTCTCACGGGAAAAATTACCTTATGTTCTGCAAGTGGTTAAAACTGTAGAATATGCTCACAGCTACTTGTAGGAAAGAGGCTTCTGGTGGGAATGGCTCAGCAGTGGTTCTTCAGATTCAGAACCAGAGGGGCAACTTACTTCCACCCCAGACTGGAATAACTGGTGCTATGGTTATGTAGTAACCCAAAAACATGGACTAAGGCTTTAACATTGACTGCTATTGATGTCTTGTCCAAATAACTTCATTGTGGGATTGATTGCAAATGTCAGCCTGAACAAGAAAGGAGCAAAGAATTGATTGTTCAGGGCAATGAGCACGTTTGGGGAGAGGTGGTTTTTTTCCTCCTCTCCTGTATTTTTCAGAAGTGCAAATCCAGTGGAACAGTTGCTGCAGGGATTCCCAAGAAACTGAGTGATTCCCACAGAGAGAATCTGCTACCAGACTCGTGTGCCATTTGCAACAGCCTTCCTGGAATACAATCTGTCCCAGTGTGAGTGAAAACCCCAGAGTTTTTTCACCTGAGTGAAAACTGCATTCACAGTGGAACAGCTCGGAGTTTACTACCAAGTTCTGTGTAAAAGATGAGAGGAAAGCAGTAGATTATAAGATTTATTAGCTGACTCTAATGTATTGAAAAATAAAGAGTAGTGCAATGTCATAATTTAAAAACTGTTTGTAATTTGAGGTGTTGTGCAGTGGTATGTTCTCCTTTGCATAGGTTACAAATGGATGTAGAGGTTGCTAGGAACTATTGAGACACAGGAAAAGCCTCTCTTGAGCAGGATTTTGCTAAGCAGATATTTCTGATATTTTTAATAAGGACTAGTATTTACTATTTCCTTGGGAATTTTGCAGTAGTTCCTGAAATTACATAGAGATCACCTGGGAAAGCATTGTCAGGGCCCTGATTGCACTAATTAGCCTTAATGTGCCTGACAAGCCCCAGCTGAGCCCTCTACCCACAATCCTTGAGAGACCAGGAGCTCTATTTAAGCTCAGCCCCAGCCCTTCATTCTTGCTTCAAGCTTTCCTGGAGAAGTTATGGGTTAGAGCCCTGCTGTGAAGCCAGGTTTGAACCCATGCTCTGACTTGCTAGCTTGACCTGAACCTGCCTCATCATCACAGTCTTGCCTTAGGACCTGGATTCTTCACTGGACTCGGCCACCATGTCTGGATTTGTGCTTGCAGGTATTCTGAGTTCTGTGGGATGGAGCTTGGCCAGTGAGGCACTTGTCTTGGTGGCCCCGGCATTTCCCTTGTCTCACCTTCCTTTAGGAAATAGCTCTGCCCAGGTTGCTTCCTCACAAATACAAAGTAGAGCAGGCTGCAACAAAGAGGATTGATTAGTTATGAAATTTTGGAATGGGTTATACACAAGTCAGGGAAGAAGTTTTGAATTGGAAGTGCTTGTGTGGATTTTGAAACTCTAGGAAATCTATTAAGTACTTACTATCTCAGTGCAACAACTTCTGATAAGATAGTGGAGGAATTCAGAGTGGATGCTGGCAGCTCAGTTTCTTATCAACAACAAGAAGAAATTAGCACTTTGTGTTCCTTTTGAAGCTGTAGGAGTGTGGGCTCCTCACTCTTGGTTGAGGGCTCAAGACTTTGGGAGATCTTCTACCTGGGGTTTTTTGTGTCGTAGCAATTATTTAGGTCATTCAGAACCCTTCATTCCAAAGGAAGGAGAACCAAAATGTCCTATGCTTGCTGGCTGTGTTTAAAGACAGTCCCATTTGTCACAGACTATCTACTGCAGATGTTCTGAGTGTGTAAGCCAGAAGTACTCCCCTACTCTTGGGTGTGGGTGCTGTGCTGAGGCAAGACCCAGAGCACACGAGCCCTCCATCCAGAGAAAACTTGCAGTTTGTCAGCTGGGGAGATCAGGACTGCAGGGTGTGCCAGAGAGGATTCTTTTTCAGTAGCAACAGTATCATTCCTCAGATAAAGAGGATTTGTTAAAGCATCTTAGGCCCTGTTTGGTTTTACTGGAGCTAGGGTAGTTGCTAAGTTTCTGGCAAACTTTGGAGATTATCATGTCCTCCCCACAGAACACATCACAGATGGAACTACTTGGAACTGGGAGTTTGAGTCCCTATCACTGCTTTGTGAAGTCAATGCTCATTTTATCTGTGATAATCACTGAGCAGCTGAATGGTTTGGGGAACTTCCAGTTCAGAAGAATTCCTGAAAATATCTCACTTAGATTTGATTTGGACTGCAATCAAGTCTGAAAAGCCCCCTCAAATTTCTATTGAGCTGCAAATCTTGCTTTTGAGCCAAAATTGATTGGAAAACTTAAACCAACTAAACCTTGGATAGGGCTCTGCATGGATCTGATGTGAATGCAAGTAGTGTCATTGGAGATAATTTGGGGTTCAGCCCTGGATATGAATTGTCATGTCAACTGAGAGCATTTCTGGGGTTAAGATTGTTCCTCTCCCTTTCTCATTCTAAAATTTGAGGGAGTACTTGTCAATCTCAAAATTGACAAGTCTGTTTCAGTAAGAAGCTGCTGCCCCTGTGCCTCCCATTAGGACACAATGTGTGGGGTGCCACAGCCAGAAATTTTTGGTTATATACCTGACACTGCTCAGGAGCCTTTAGTCATGTGTTCCTGCAAGCAGCCTGAAAAGAGACCTGGGCAGTGAAAAAAGCTCCAAAGTCAGGTGAGCTGAG